TCGAGCAGAGGCCAGTTGGGTGAAGGGTGTAACTTGTTTGAAGATGAGGCCCGAGGTGGCCTACTCTAGACGTCGGTTAAGTCAATCCGCACTAGTTGGCTGACCTGCCGAGCTACTTGTTGGCGGGAAGGCGTATACATGAAACCGAGCGCCACTTTTGAGCGGGCGTAGTCTTTCAAAATTCAAAATAGAGCGCACTTTCGAAATTTAAATTATGGTGCATGCGTCCTTCAAAATCTTGGATGTGGGCTTCTTCCTAGGCCATTGGATTGGGCGAATCTAGACCATCAGTAGTCTGCACTACTCTCCCTCAAGGGTCCCATGTCGCTTTTTGATTTTGGACTTACACTAAGGTGAAGATTGTTGACGACCTCTAGCTCAGTTGTGACAATTTCCGATAACTCATCTTTTCTTCTTATCATCGATAAGTCTCCATTTCTTCCTAGTTATGTCTAGCGGATCAGAGAGGGACTGCTACCTAAACACTCAGACCGAGGTGAGGACCTCGGCTCAAGAACGAAGAGATTCCCATGGAGGAGCCTCAACCTCTCAACAAGCCCCATCTAGAACAGGTTTCGGGCCCTCCGAACTGTTTGTCAAGGAGATAGTGGACCTAATTAACACCTATCAAATCCCTAATAGCTTAAACTGTATTTAGTCCGAGGATGGGCAATATCCATGGAGCCATGGAGAAACCGAGGTTTGTGTCTTCAGGGAGGCCCTCATTGCAAGGCCCCGCTTTCCCCTTCATCCGTTCATTTGTGAAGTCCTCCATCACTATAGTTTAGCACTGGATCAACTGCATCCCAACTCAATTAGGACCATTGTAGGCATCATTTCTCTTAGCTATCACCTTGGTTTCCCCTTAGACATAGAGATCTTCAGCAGGATATGTCACATAAAGCGAGTGCCAAGTGAAAACTGTTGCTTCTACATCAGCTACTGATCTGGGTTTAGGCTTCTGGGTAGTTTTTCGTCCAAGATCACGAATTGGAAGATGAAGTTCTTCTTTTTGAGCTGTGAGGAGGGTTGGCCTATGCCGATGACCTAGAGGGCCAAGGCAAATAGGTATGAGGTCAAGTTTGACGAGGAGTTGTTGAATGACCTTAGACTCCTCATTAAACAGCGCTCCATGGTCGATGAGTTCTTGGCTGAACCGATGCTTAATGAAGCCGGCCTTAGCCCCATAGGTAGGTTGCACTATATTTATTACCTTTGAATTTTATTTTTACCCTTAGTATCTTGATTGTTTTTCTTTTTCGTTTGATAACAGGGATGACTATCTTTTCCTCGATTGTAAATGCAACACGATGTTCATCAAAGAAGAAGAGGAGGGTGGATGGTGAGTCTAGCTACGATGTCAAAGAGAGGTCGGCGGAAGGTCTCTGTGTTGTGGTCGACTTGGAGGAGGGTAGCGACCCGATACAGGCCAACCCTGCTCATGTTGCTCCAGTGCACTCAGCGAGCGCATCCCACTTCAATGAGGCAACGACTCCTTACGGCATGAAGGTCCCTCCATTCATTCCTAGGGTCAATTGCTTGATCACTGATTGGATTCATGACTCGTATGCGGTGCTCCATATGGGAAGGGGTATTCTCCTTCCCGAAGATGTCCGCATTTATGACGAGTTGGATCCCTCTGAACTCGGTGCTCGGATTATTCGAAATGCCATGCAGGTAAGCATCTTCGAGACACTTGGCCCATTGTTTTATCTGTCCCTTACCAAGTTGTTTTCTTGTCCGCAGATCAACCCGCTGGGTCAAGTCATGCTAGATCAAGTCACTACCACGAGGCGCAAGTCTTGTGAGATGAGGGCCAACATAGAGACCCTCCAATCTTAGCTAGAGGCAACCCGTCTTAGCGCCAAGGAGGACCGCTAGCAATTCTGTTCCCTTTACGCAAGTATGAACTGTGAGCTAGAGGAAGCTAGGGGGACGATTGTTAGTCTGAGTGGTGAGCTTCAAGAATAGCGGGCCAGGCACTTTGATGACATTCACCGAGCCCAAGTTGTTTCTATTGATTGCTTTTGCCGATCATCGGGGTTTGAACAGGAGAGAATTAAAGCAGTGGTTCCTTCTCTAAAGAGGGCTTCAAATTGTGTCATTGCTTTCTTCGACGCTAGTACCCGTACCTCGACTTGAGCTCTATCTCGCTTGGGTCAGTCCTAGACGATCTGACCCGAGAGGTCACGGAAGAGGTAACTACTCCAGAGGAGGTAGACGGCGATGAAGATGATGATGAGGGTGGTGAAGAGAATTGTGACTTGTGGCGAATTCCCTTTGTCCCCCCCTTTTTTACTTGTTATGCACCGAGCCTGCGAGCTCGGTAAAACTTGAATTTATTGAGACCTATTCTCTATTTTGCTAGTTTTATGAAACCCTCTTGGAGTCTTCCCTTCTTCTCCATTATTAGGTCGGCGAGGAGAACCTCTGTCCTTTGAGACCTATCCGAGTGTGGTAGTGGCAGTGTTATAACACTGCCGAGCTAGATAGATGGGGGCCAACCTACTTAGATCGGTCTACCTATTGCTGACGTGTTTCAAGGTCGTCTTGAGGAGACCTTAAGCTGAAAGTGGTTTAGCTTCCCTATAGAGTTCGGCTTGACCAACTCGCTGAAGTGGATGGTCATTCTATAGTTGCAACTTCTATCATTCGATTTCAGATAGACGTTTATAGGTTAGAATTACACTTACCCTGCGAGCTTACCAGTCGTGCTGTGGTGTGGGTGCACCTGAAGCATCTAGGAGACAGGCACGAAGCGCGACTAAATCTATGCAGTCACAAGGGAGTGACTTCCTCTGGCCTGCGTTTGCGGATCAATGCAACATGTGTATTGCACCTGCCCCTAGAACTATTGGCCATCTACTCCTACTAGAGCCATGTTGGGCTCACCTTGACGTGGTGGCTCTACTGTCTGCAAGTTACCTACCTTGAAGGGAACCATGTAAGGTTTGACCTATGAAGCTGGCTCCAGAGTTAGCCAGCTGCCAACTCTCATGGGAGCCATGGAGGGCTCAATTAGCAGTGAGGCTTTGCAGTTAGCTATTTGGGCCAGATTATTGAAACTTGCCTAGGTTGGTCGCTTAGATTCTTCCCCCCTTGTGATAGCATTGTCGATATGTACGTTGCTGTCAGCGTTGGATGATAGGTCGGTGGCACAATTGCATTGCGTTAGCCCTCAGAAGCACGGTCATCTACTCCTCCGATAGCTACAAGGAGCTCAACCTGTGGGGGTGACTCTACTAATTGTAGGCCGCCAACTCGCATGGGAGCCTTGAATGGCTCGACCTGCAAGGGCAACTACATAGTTCATTGGCTGCCAACTCCCACAAGAGTCACGAAGGGCTTGACTTGTAAAAATGACCTCACGAACAGAACTGACGAGGCTCATCTTGGCTGATTACTGTTGAGTGCGAATTTGAAATGAGAGTTGAGAACCTAGCTTTTAAGTAGCGGTTCCCACATAGGACGCCAATTGGTGGTGTGTGATCTTGATGCTCCCTGTTGGAAGGTGACTCGAATGCCGAGTTGACCTGCAAAGAGAGAATATGAGAGTGCTCGGGTTGCTTTACCTGGGGTGGGCACTCTGATGCTTAAGTCAGCGAGCTGGAGATTTAGGAGAGAACTAGAGAGTAAGATAGCTAGAGTATCAGAGAACTGAATCACACATTCCTTCTTCGAGGGAGGAAATGCCTTTATATAGGCGTAAGAAACCGGGAGCTTCTTGCAAAGAGTCCAAGATTCTCGAGAAACCGTGCCCACCATTTTGGAGGAGAGGGATAGAATTTGTTTGATCAACTCCGATGCAGGCGATACGGAAAAACAGGTGTAACGGTCGAGCATCGTGATCCCGAAGAAGTTAGAAACAATAACATGCTTAAGGAAGAGGCTGACGAGCATGTCTTGCAAGTCACCACCTGGACCTCAGTCAGGTTGGCAAGTCCTCGAGGAGGTTCCTGCCCACGCCGAGGTCACTTCGACTGGTATTGACGAGGTACCACAAGTCGACATGTCCTCGAGGAGGCAGCTCCTCACACTGAGGTCCCTTGGACCGGTAACGACGACGTATTACAGGTCAGCCCTGAACGAGGTGTTACTAGCCGCCCTGCTAAGGTGCCCAAGCTGTGTATGAGGTGCCTCAGATTGATTCCGAGGTGCATGTCCTTGACTCTGCGAGATACGTGTGTGGCACTGAGGTGTCAAATCGACAAAAATAGATGCCACATGTCGCTAAGTCAACGGAGGGCCAAATCTACCCTCATCAGGTGCCTTGCCCTGAAACTGCCCCACCATTAGGGTTGGGGTAGGGGTGGAGTATAGTTTCTTGACTTACTTACAATGGATAGATTAAGTATGTGTTTGGTTCTGTTTACGTTTATTGAGTAAACAGTGCCACATAGGCACCTCATCAGCAAAAGCCTCATTAATTGTTTCCATACGTATCAATGTTTGTTCTGTGCGCCTCTCCCGTTTCAGAAAGCTTCTTGAAACAGGTAGGTGCTTATTGGCACTTTGCTGATGTGGTGCCTAATGGCGCCTATGTATCATAAACGCCCACATTAATAGCTTTTCTCGGTTTTGCAGCCACACAAGTACAATTTCTAACATCTAAATTCAGCATAACCTAATTCAACATCCCAAGTTACACCGATAGGCGGCTACAATATTTTGTGCACAAGATCCATCCTTGAAGGAAATTATTCTCAAGGTTTTTAAAACCAAATCGAACAATGAACCGGTCAGGGTCCGGTTCCCAAGTTGAGTGGTCCGATTGTTCGAACTAAATGGATGGCCCGTTCTGACAAAAAAAAATGTCAAAGCCACTGAATTGATCAAACAGTTCGACTGCCCAAGTCAGCGGTTTGTTGACCAAATCCGGTTTTGAAAACCATGATTATTCTCACCAAATGACGGAAGCTGTTGCAATTCACAGTTTGAGAAGTTTGAAAATATGAAATCGACAAATTCAATTTGTAATAAAGATTTTGATTCTAAACAACATTTCCTTTTTCTTTTGGTTTTCGAATTCTACTTACACCATGTACACCAGTTTCTGATTGAATTTAATCCCCAGAAAATGGTAGAAAATCTTTTCTTTTCGTTTTTTTTTTTTTCCCCGGACTTAGATCCATTCGTGGCCACCATTTTTGGTTGACAAACTAAAATGGTGGAAGTTCTTCCACGACCACCGTGTTCGGCTTCTCCTTGAGCTCAAACTAACTATGTTCACGTTCCTCACGTGCGTTACCTTCTTCTTCACCAGCCCACGCACCTCTTCCGGCGGTCTGTAGCTCCGTATCAACGGCCACTTTATCCTTTTAAAGAACGGGTGCTGTTTTATCTCCGTCGCACCCTTGGCGTACCCTAGCCTCCTCCTCGGGTCCTTCACCAGCAATCTCTGTATCAGATCTCTAGCCTCCGATATTCCCTCCTCTTCCTCGTCCGCCCTACCACAGTCCCGAAACCTAAATGACTTGGTCGACGCTATGTTGCGCAGTGTGGCTTCTTTACTCCCTCCCTTAAACGGCGTTTGTCCGTATAACAGCTCGTAAATGAACACCCCAAACGCCCACCAGTCCACTCCGTTGCCATGTCCGTTGCCACTCAACAACTCCGGCGCCAGATACTCGTGCGTGCCGACGCAAGATTTCGAGAACGCCGTCGTCGGCTCCGCCACGAACTCTGCCACCTCCGTCATTTTACGCCGTCGGGAAACCGTTCCAAAACAGGTAGGCTGCTTTTTTGTTGACTCTACCCCCGCCGGATGAAAGTGGCGTTTGTCGAGGGTGGGGAGCACATCGGCTCTGAAACACAAGTCAAAGTCCGACAACATTATATGGCCATCATCCCTGATCAATACGTTCTCTGGTTTCAGATCCCGGTACACCACCCCAAGCGCGTGTAGATATTCCAGAGCCACCAACACCTCCGCCGCGAAAAAACGAACCGAGTCGACCCGGAAGCGGTGTGTCGGCTGCTTGCGGAGGAGCGAATGGAGGTCACCACCGGGGCAATAGTCGATGAGTAGACAAGAGTAATGTGACTCCTCTAGATGGGCGTAGAGCGTTGGCAGGAAAGGGTGGTCGACCATGGAAAGGACTTGAGCTTCCATCTGCACGTGGGAAAGCTTCTTAGCTGTGAGAACGTCTTTATCCACGACCTTGAGAGCGAAGTTGGCTCCGTCATAATCTTCGAGACGGCAGAGAAAGACGCGTCCTAGATTTCCGCTGCCGATGTGGCGGACGAGCTTGAGTTGGCTGAGGTGCAGGGACCCGTCGGAGGAGAGGTTGGTGGCGGCTTTGATTGCCGCCCAATGGGGGTCGGATTTCCGGTGGGGCCGTCCTACTCCAGTGGAGGAAGAAAGGCGGGATTCGTTGAAGCTGACGCTGAGACTGCTGCGAGCGCTGGAAGAGGTGAAGGTGCGATCCGTGGAGGTATTGGAAGCGCAGCTGGTGAAGCTGAAGTCGAGATCGGTGTCCGAAGATAAAAGGATGTCTTCGTCCATGGCTTGAGACAGAGAGATCAGTCGAGCATCTTGTGGAGGCCACTGCTGGTTATATAGGATCGAGAGATCGAGATCGATACTCGAGACAGAAATGGAGTATTTTTAATTTACTGCTCAGTTGACCCATCTCATCTCTCCGCCATTAAAAGTTTAAAACATTTCTTTTGGTGACGTTGGGAGCTACCAGGCATCAGCTCGACCGCGATGGCTCTGAGCCTCTGAAGTAAAAATAAACGAAAAGCGGTCTCGCTGTGACGTTGTCTTGATTCCTTTTAAGTTTTAACCGTTAAGAAATTTCCAGTTGACTTCTTTGACATTGTTGTTGGGTTTGGGCCACCGTATTATGGTTAAAGAAAGGAAAACTTTGGGAAGATAACTTGGATGACCGTAAGGCCCAAAGGCCCACACATAACGATTTGATCGAACGGTCAGGAATGATTTGATCAACGCCTAGGATTAAGGATTAGTTCTCGTGCCTGTTGAAGGCGGGTGAATTAATTTCAAAGACAAGTTCAGCGGAGCCGCGCCGACATGTAGCCGACTGACGCCCTAACTTGAAAATTTTAATTAAGGAAAGGGCTTATTGGTTATTACGAAATATTTTAATTCCAAATTACATTTGGTTATTAATTCGGTTCATTAATTTTTTGTGATCGGTTAAGGGAACAGGGAGTCAGGGACTGTTGAGGGAGGGAGTACCATAATACCCGTTAACCCTATGATGAGCCAAATCTGACCGCTAGGGTAGGACCCACGTGGGAAACTAGACGATGCTGTCTGCCACGTGGCCAGCATGGTCCAACATTGTCGCTCGCTCCCCCACCTCTCCCTCAAGTGGGGTCCCTACCCAACCTAAATCCCTAAATAAATAAATAACAGAACAAAATAAAAAAATACTCTGTAACATTTGGTTACAGAACTAGCCTAAATTGGGGAAGATTCTAGATGGGATTCAATCAGATATGGACGTGTGTGATTGTGAAGGGCGGGTGGTAGATGGGCTTTACAGGTAAGGGCTTTCATGGGTTGGGCCGACTAGGCCAGGACTGGACCACTTCTATTAATCCAACTAATTATATTTTGAGCTTTGAAACGGTGTATTTGCACCAGGAAAAACAAGGGAGGGGGATGAATGGTTAAAGCAACTGTGATGCATTTAATTCTAAATGCTGGTTCATAGGCCTTCAACGTGGCACAATCTCTGTCCATACAAAATCCGAACTCTGGGCCCACATGCTGTTGGACAGTCCGATTGAATGTTGCATTATTTTTCGACATTGCTTTAACTGTATGAAATTGGAGAAAAGATGTGTCTACTAGTCTGATAACCGAAGCATGTTAACCCTCAGACCAGATTGGGCCCTATCGTCGTCAACCTCATTATGGGCCGGTCAGTTTGGAGGGCTGAGCAAAGTTGGTGAAATTGAGTGAAGGTGAAGTGACAGATATTTGCTAGGAAAACTTTATATGGGTCCATGGAGGCCCATTCATGCATTAATTGAGCCACAATTTTTGGACTCGGATCCGCCACACTCCTCTTAGTCTGGAGTTCCAAACCCACAGAAATTTACATAGAAAACATGAGCAATGTTCAGATCTTCCACAAGCTATGAGATCAATTAAGGATTGTTTGGTTTACTTTCAGAATGGGAATGGTCTATTCGCATAGTCTGCTTGGTTCAGATGGGAATTAGAATCGGTTGGAATGAGATCTTGTTTCCAATTAAAATGGGATTTTAATTCCGTCCAGCCAAATGGTTGGAACCGGAATGGGTGATTCTGATTCCGATTCCGATTCCAAACCCCTATTCCAATTAACCAAACGGGCCATTAGTTCTTAAAAGTAGTATATAATTTGGTGAAGATAGTCAATTTTTGTTTCCCATGAAGACATGACACAGATGAATGTATTAAGATGGAATGCAGCTGATCTTTTAATATAAGAAAATGACTAAACACATGCATGCACCGAAGACAAAGAGGATTAATGAAGAATACAGAGTTGACATCATGGCATGGTCCCTTTGATCTGCTTTATCAAGTGCGATGCATTCTTCTATCTAGTTAATTCTGCTTAAGAGCCAAGACTTGAATCCAATGGAAAAAGCAAATCTTCTTCATCTCTTGGTTCCTACACCAAATATTTCTTGGTGCCCTCGCCTTTCCTTCCTCGACTAATAAAGTGCACCTCTGAAGTCTGAACTAAAACAACAAAGCTAATACTATGAAAATCGAAAATAATACTGGTTTACTTCTAATCTGTCTGTTTTATTTATTTGTGAGAACCCTACCTTATAAGAAAAAGAATAGAGGTGGAAGGAGGGTTATTTTATTTGGGAGTAATAAGCAAATTGATGCAGTCCCCACTTTATATTAGAGAGGATTGATGTGGGAGTAGGAGTAAACTGATGTAAATTTTGCATTGCAGTGAGTGCAAATGAGGCAAAATGTACTTTGTATCAAGTAAGAGTGTAAATCATAATTACAAACAAACAAATACAAATGTGAACTGGGCGCAAGTCAGATTTGCATTAGAAAACAAACAAAGTTGAATTTGGAGCCAATAATCAGTATATAAGAAATTGAAATTGGTATAATTTTATTTTATTTTATTGTTTAAAACATTTTCAAGAAAAGTATGTTGCCTTTCTTATTGAAAATGGAGGAGAATTAAAACATCTGGAAATTCTAGTATTAGGGCTGTCAATGGACTGGGTTTCGGTCGAGACAGGTAAAATTAAAACCTATTCAACAAGAAATATCAATGCCCCAAAACCGAATCAATCCCTATAGTGTCTATAATTTTAGACCCAGAACCAAACTGATTGTTTTCAGGGAAATCGAGTCAGATCCGATGGACTGATAACAATAAACCTGCTGAAAATACTATTTATATCAAATAAATTGTCAGTAGGTTCATTGTAATAGTATTTTCAGCTAGACAATCGGGTCTGTAACACTTATTGTCACCGGTCCATAAAGTCAGACCCAATTATCTCAAAAACCAATCAGTTCGATTTTGGGTCTAAAATTATAGACTCTATAAGGGTTGATTCGATTTGGGACCCATTACAATAAAACTGCTGAAAATACTATATATTTAATATATTATACATTTAATATTAAAAAAACAGCTACATTGGATCCCTCCAAGGTAGCAACTATAAAATGAATTGTTGTTCAGTCCATTAATATAAAAGACTCAACCTTGTCCTGGAGCCAACTTTGTAATAGTTTTAGTTAATCCAATTGGATTGATTTTCGGTATAATTAAAAATGCATCCTTATGGGTAGGGAGAGGGGGTTTTCAAGCTCTGACATCTTCAATTTATATAACTCCATGTTCCCCTTCCTTAATACATGAGAGAGAGAGATGCAAGCTTTCAGATGATCGGATAAGATGAGCAGAATCCTTACCACAACCATTTGTTAGAGGCTGAGAAATATTTTAATGAAGATGCAAGATCGTGTCACCCAGAAACTCTGTGGGGCGCATTCAATGCGGACTCCAAGTTGAAACCACAGAAGTCTAGACGCTAGACGGGAATAGTATGTCATCTTGCTTCAGGCAGCAGTCAGTAGCCACTCAGCAGCTAGCCGCTCGTGGACGGAATCTCGCAGCCCAGCTGCACTGACATATGTCTACTAGTTTTGACACCACGCCCACGCTCGGAGCTCTTTGTCCTGTCAGTTTTTGTCTCCCTCAAGCCTTGAGCTCAGCGCCCTTCAGACCCAGTCCATGCATCTATCTATCCATCTGCCATCAGATAACATTAGAAAACAGGAAAAGAAGAAAAACACTCATCGGTAGCTCTTCTGGCATGAGTTGGCTTTGGCTTTCACCCTGTTCTCCCTAGATTCTCATCTGACACAGCTAGCTTGCTCTTGTGCTGCGTTTCTTGGCATTAGTTTATGCAGTCAGACGACGGCCATGACTGAATCATCTCAGCACTCAAGTTTTCCGTGGCATTGCCCGTGAAGGCAGGCCGTGACTCAAGCTATTATAATTTTTATATATGAGAGAAGCTTCTTACAGTCATCCTCGACTGGGTTCCTGCCTACAGATCTCCGGACAAACGAGACTTGCAGCTCTTTTTCCGGTTAAACACGTGAAGTTTGTTGTTGTTCGCCGGCATATCTATGCTAGCTGCATGCCCACGCTCTGCATTTCAAATTAAAGAATGTAATGTGATATAAGAGGATCAGAGTCTACTATCAGGAATACAGAAAAAAGCCTGTGGATTGATCAAATCCTTTTATCTTGGGAAGTAAATGGAATATACCAAGTCTCTAGAAATAAGATGGAGACGACCACTCAAGGTTACAGTCGATAGTTTCCGACATATCTGCAATATTCTATCCCATGCCACAGATTCGATGTTTGTTTTTTCCATTTTTTGGCTACGATGCAGCATGGACATGCCTGAATGCAAAGTTTAGAGTTTAGACAAGTAAGCCTCTTCCTATACCTCTCTGCCTTTCAGGTTCAAGTAGAATGATGAGCAATTTAGCATTGGGGGTGCAACCGGGCGGGTTCGAGAGGGGTTTTGTAAATTTTAGACCCTACCCGCTTTTCTATCCATACCCGTAGCTGGTTGGATATTGAGAATCCAATCACTTAATGCACGTGAAAATGCAAAACCCTCCCTGCATTCAAGGTAGGGGCAGGTTGGGTTTAGAATGCAGATCTAATTTCTTATTATTTCTTTGTTATGTATAAGTAATAGACAAATAAAGTAATACAATTAAACAACAAAAGTTTCAATTATTTGATTAAGACATGTTAAAAACACAAACTATCAATTATTCTTCATGTAAAATTTAAAATATTATTACATTCAAGACCTAGTATATATAATTTATATGCTTTTCAACAATGTGTGGATCAGAGAGGGTCGGGTTTTGCCTAATATTGTACCTTACCTGTACCTATACGGGTTGTAGAATTCCAAAACCCATATCTGCCCCAAAATCCATTCTTCAAGCAAGAAAACTTGCCTCATCGGAGAGGGTAGGGACAAATACCTATCGGACAAGATAGAAATTGTCATCCCTAATTAGAACATGAGACATCTTTAATATGATTAAATAAATATTCATTTTTGCATTGTAAATAGGACTTGAAATTATTAGACCTTGAGGGCTTACATTTTTCCAATAAATTGAGGGAAGTTGGTCCATTGGAAAGTTGTGGAATTTTTTTCACATTTGCTTTTTGGCAAGTATAGGTGTGAGTAAGTAAGGTGGCGTTTGATAACACTTTTCAGACCTTTGAAGTCTAAAAATGTTGTTTTTCAGACACCACTTATGTTTGGGTTGAGTCTAAAAATTCATATCTGAAATGCACTTTTTAGATTTGAATTTGTAAGAGACAAGGCAATGACTTAATGCGCTCAAACATTTTTCAGACCGCATTAAAAGACAAAAATGCCCATCCTCAATTTCCCTCACCCTCTCCCTCTCTCTCCCCTTGTCTTCCAACCACCGCCGTTGCAACTCTCAACAATAGTGTTTCTCTCTCTCTCTCTCTCATTGTCTTCCCGCCACTGTTGCTGCAACTCTCAACAATAGTGTTTCCCTCTCCCTCTCTCTCTCTCTCTCTCTCTCTCTCTCTCCCCTTGTATTCTCGCCATCGCCACTACAAAGAGTTAGAGTGGCGTTCGATTTCCCACACCCTCTTTCTCTCTCCCTCTCTCTCTTTCCCCCCTTGCCTTTCTGCCACCGCCGCCACAACTCTTAGTAGTGGTATTCGAATGCTATTCTTAATAATTTATTATTATTTTAATTATTAATAACTTATTTTTAATTTATAAATTTCTATGTATTTCCGATATTATTCTTATTTTAGTAAATTATTTTTTCATAATTTTTATTTGTATTAATTATTAATTATTTGAATTTTTTAATTATTAAATAGTTTAGTAGGTTTACTTTAATAATTTGATAATTATTAAATATTTTTTAATTGCTTCATGGATTTTATTACTATTTTTGTTATTATTTTAACTTTTAATAATTTATTTTTATTTTATAAATTTATATATAGTTTCAATTTATTCTTATTTTAATAATTTTATAATTTATCATAATTTGTTCAGATTTTTTAATATTATTTTGAATTTAATAAATTGTATTTTATGAAATAGTATAAGTTGAACTCAAAATTACCAAATAGTATGTTCTAGGGGTAAAATAGTAAAATTAAGGAATTTCAGATGTTGAAGGTTTGATCCAACATAAACAACCTTCTCTATTCAGAACCTCTAAAAGTCAAAAAGCATTTATGTCTCTTTTCAAATTTTAGACACCATTAATATCTTTTTAACTTTTCAGATTTTCAGATTTATCAAATGCCATCTAAGATTTCCAAAATGTGGAGACTCTAAAATTAATGAGACAAAATTGTCTATTAAAAATAAGTTTTAAAAACAAATGGATAAATTGATGAAACTTTTTTTGACCATTACTGAAACGTCCTTGAAGTTTGGTAATTGTAATTACTTCCCTTGAACTTTCTAACATAATTGCAAGTAGACTCCATTTGTTAGAATCTTCTAAAAAGGGGCATGAAAATATACAAAATATCCGTAGTTACTTTTGACCAAAATGTTTATTTTCCAAATTCTCTTCATAATAATGCTAGCCCAAGCTCTTCCCAGTCCCTTTTTTATAATTGTTTTGCTTATTTTTCAAATTTGCCATTCATATCAATCGCTCAAAGGTAAAGTTGCAACTTTAAATTCTCTATTTTTTTTGTTGTTTATAATGGTTGTATTATTTTTCTTCTGTAGAAACCAACTTCAACAGAAATTGTATGGATATTTTGGACAATTTTGTGACTCTTGATTCTAACAAAGAGGGTCTACTTACAACCGTGTTAGAAAGTTCAGGAATGATAATTGTAATTACAAACTTCATGGGAGGTTTCAACAACCGTAAGAAACTTCAGGGGAGGTCTCATCGATTTATCCAAAACAAAAAGTACAAAGAATATAATGTAACATGAACACTGGTAAATGCACTTGTCCAAACACTTACCCAAATAATTATATTTACCTCCATGGCCCTTGTATTACCCAGCGTGGGCTCATGATGAAAATTAGAAAGCATGAAATAGTTGGGGGAAAATCTATGATGCAGAAAAGATATGATATAGAAAGAGTTTTGACCAATCAAAACCCACCTATAAATTTTGATAAATAAGACGCTATTAAGGTTTGTTGTTTTTTCGGATATCATATCTTTTCCATATCATAGTTGAACCCGTTAGTTAGAACATGAAACGAGAAGACATTTTTGTTTTTGAAAAATATTTGTGTAGCCATATGGGCTACTATTTGGTATGTGGAACATCAAGATATCCTGTGTATAGTCTCTTCTATGGATCATATAAAATCCACAGGATAAGCTCCTCTTACACCACTGCAACAGTTAAAGAGAATCATATCTGACGTGGTTTTATTTTTCCACAATATCTAGTCTAACACCTTCCATTTAGACCTGTTCACGGGTTAGACTGGGTTTAGTCTCTTTATAAGGCTGCGTTTGGCATTTCATATTTTAAGGATTTTTTTCCTTTTTTTTTCATATAAAATGCTCCTATGAATACTGAATTTTTAATTGTAAAAAGGAAATAAGTCCTTCAAATAATAAATGTCAAATGCAACCTAAAAAAAAATGACCACATCTGAGCCCAAGCCTAACCCAACAATTTGGGCTTAGATCTTAATCTTGAGCCCGGCCCTAGGATCACAAAACTTGAACAATATTTGACATAAGAGAAACCCACATGATAATTTATATTCCCAACATTTTCAATTGAAAATGGGATCACTGACATGCAGCAGAGCTTCTTGCGACGTCAGATGGGAATCTAGATTAGATGACCTACGCCCACCTTGAACTGATGTACCAATCTCCTCGAGCAGCGCGCTACAGAGAGACTTGCCACAGAACAATATGGAGTTCGAACTTAACACTTTGCGTAGAACTACAAAGATAAACTCCTCGGAGTCGATTAGGGGTACAACTTGGGCGGGCTTAAATCGAACCTGGTAGAAAGCAACCCGAGCTTTTGCATGGGTTGGGCCTGTATTTTGGGCTGGGTTGAGGCATTGGGCACATTTGTAAATGAAATTTGTATGTATTTTCAAGCTTCTATTTTAGTTTATGATCCAACTAATTCTGGTTGATACAAAGATAAGCCACTCTGAGTCGATTGGAAGTGCAACTTGGGTGGGCCTAAACCGAACCTGGTAAAAAGCAACCCGAGTTTTTGCATGGTTTGGCCTGTATTTTGGGCTGGGTTGAGGCCTCGGGCACATTTGTAAATGTGCTTGAGTTGACCTTCAACCAGATCAAACCGGCCCAAATTGCACCCCTGGAATCAATGTCGCGAGTGTGGACATAGCAGGAGACATCCGTACTGCTGTTGATGTGTTGGGTCTGATTTGGGTCAGGGTAAGTCCCAACCCTTAAGTGTATACAAAGCCAGGACCAATTTTGAAGCAGACCCTATAGGATTTGTATCGGGACTAGAAGGTCAGACCCAATTTTTCTGTGGATAAAGACCCGATCATATTGTGCTACATCTTTTAACCTGTAATTTGATAATAAAAATATTTATTAAATTGACACATTTGGACATCATAATATCACTAGTATATCACGAAAAAAACAGGTATTAGAGTCGGACTATCTTTGTAATATGTTAAGTTATAATCATAACACATAATGTAGAACCAGACCCAAAATAATTGGGTCGATTTGGTTTGGGTCTGTCGAGTCTGCCCAACCCATTTCCAAGAGATTATCTACTTTAATGGTGGAAAAAAAAAATGCAGAATTCCAATGTGAAAGAAAAACTACTTTGTTCTCCCACAGGATTTTAACAGGACAACCACTTCCTACCATCCTCTTACTGTTGACAGAATAAACCAACTGTTCAACATTCAATGCCACAATCTAGTACAGAAACCGTTTCTGTAGATAGGTTTCTGATCATTGCAGATTTCCCCCATGAATGTATCGATAAGCTGACCAGCCAGGCTTGGGGGATCATCAATGAGAGTGTCCACAAAAGCACTGACCACTCTCTTCTCTTGCATTGTTGCTTTCAGGCTGAACCATGTTAGGAACTTCACCCTGAAATCCTTCTCTATGTGCCCTTCACGTTCTAACCATCTGATCACTCGCACACAATATTCATAGTTCCTTTCAGTCCACTGCTTCTTAGAAACAGAACCCAGAACTTCATGGATGCCATCAGATTTGCTTGGTGTGGGAGGAACAGATGGAGCACCAACATAACATGCAACCTCCACTGGAGGAGGGGGCAGAAGGCACTCATCAAGCTTACTGATGTCCTCCAATGATCGAAGCTTTGAGTGGTGGTCATTTGAATTGGTTGAATCCCTCTGTGAATTTGCTTGAACCATCAGAGCTTGATTTTCCTTCCCCTGCTCTTCATCCACAGCTGAAACAGAACTTCTGCTTGGTGCTTCTGTGATCCATTTAGCTTCCCATGCACCCAATTCCTTTGTGCTGCTGAACAGAGAAACCTTACAGAAGTACTCTGTTGAAGGATCAAGATCTGAAATGACGAATCTCTTCTCTGGCCTCAGGACAATGCAAGTAGGCTTCTCTGGATAGTCGATCACATTGGACCTACGATGCCAAAGTCTGCAACCTAGGAAGTCCTCCAACAGCTTATCTTCATATTCCAAAACAATGACAATGGTGGTTGCTGATGGTTCTTCAAATCGGATCTGACAAGCTGATGAGCACCCCAGACTTAGCATCAATGCAGAAACAGAGAAACTAACATTGAAAAGATTAAGCAAAGATTAAAAAAGAACAGCTTACTTAGTTGTCCTTTAAGAGCAGTATAATCAGGACTCGGGCCTGAAAACATGGAATCAATGGCTTCTACTGCTGAAGCACATAACTTTTGAACTTCAGCACCACAAGAAAGTCTGTTAACAATGCCTCGTCCTAACTTCACAGATACTCGATCTAGAGGTCCAACCTCTTTCTTGAGTTTTTTCACTGCAGCATCAACTATCCTCTGAAGTTCTTTATATTGCTCTGTTCCTTTAAGAATCTTATGGCTTAGTGATATCCGATAACAAAGTACATCCACTCTCCTGGCATCCTTGGCAATTAATAATTGTTTTCTCCAGGTTCTGAAGTATAAAGAAACATGGGTTTTAGCTTTTTAGGACAAGACTTAACTTAAGGTTAACCATTCTACTTATATTTTTGTTTTATCTTCATATTGATTTTCTTTAAACAAAAAATAATGTACTAGGATATTCCCTACCAGAAGTGTTTATATGTTTGTTCATGCATGTATGTATTTGTGTATATCATTCAGGGATGAGCAAATGGTTTATTCAGTTAAAAACCAAACCGAATAAACTGGAATTTTAAATGAAAAACCGAACCGAAACTGAAATAATGAAAAATCAAAATTTTCAGTTCAGTTTTCAGTTATTTCGGTTAAAACCGAATTTCATCACTATATATATCTTTTAATATATATATATATAGATAATAAAGTTTGGTTAATTCGTTTTTTTTGGGTTGACCGGATTTCTAAACTAGAGAATTGAAATTGAAAGCGGAACCAAAATTTTCAGTTCAGTTTTTTGGATTTACCAAACAATGCTCACACCTAATCATTCATTCTAGTACTTGTATTAGAACTCACCTATCAAAAAAAATCGTATTAGAACAAAAAATATTTGGCATGGAAGAGAAGAGCTTATTACCCCATTAGTTCATTAACTTTTCCACAGAATGCACAATAGAAACTTCCATCCAACTTTGTATGGCATCCATTCTTCAAGATACCAGCCCTTTCATGCCTAAGAGCACATTCTAAGTGGCATGACACCCCACATGAATCATCCTGATTAGGAGGATCAGAACTGCAGGTTAACCAGAGACTAGGATCCTTATTTTCATCATAATTATGACAGATGCAACATGAACATCTCTTGCAAAATGTATCCTGTTGGCTCAAATTAGCTCTACAGGCAAGATTTTGACATAGTACAGTGTTAAATTGCTCCTCTTTAATGTTCACTTGTAAAAGATGCTCTGTGTTAGTGGATAACCGGAGTGGGTGCTCTTTCTTCCTTTGCCTTTTACCACCAGTTTGACTCTTGGATGGTGAAAGTGATAATGAATCATTAGTAATGTTTTTCCCTGCTCTCTTTGCCACTAACGTGAGGAGATGCTCTATCATTTTAAATTTTGTAAAGCCAGTGTATTTCCTTTCTTTACCCATTTCGGCACAGATGATTTCGAGAAGCTCTCTGCGACTCCAAGATCGAAGGATCTCTGGGGCATCATTTGACCATTGGGAAATTTCATGAACTAATTCCCTTTTTTCTTCCAAGCTCAACTGACTACATTTTGCAGGATCAAGTACGAAACCTGGAAGATGAAAACATAGAAGAATGATTAGCTTCAATACTAGATAGAAGGAAGAACTTGACAACTTGTATGTCTGACATGCCATGGCAGGTGGAGAAACAGAACTGAGCTGAGTTTGTCAACTGTTTATATTGTTTCAAGACCCCATGTTATTTTGAGAGGGAAACTTGTATTACTAATGTTAGTAATAACTCTTTCATAGCATTTTAAATGTCTATAGTAAAGCTGTCATCCCAAATATCTACTTTCTTATGCGCATATAAGACACACTATTACTGTTCGTGATGGAATAAGATTTCATCAGAAACATGATTTCATGAACCATAAGATCAAAGTTCATAGTTTTAGTCATGGAAGAACATCTGTTAATTCTAGTGAAGCAAATTGGGAACAGCTTCTAGATCTTGAATAGTAGGATTGATACAAGGTTACCCTATTTTCTTTGCAGAGATGGACCCTTTTTCTTTTAAGAGGTAAAAGAAAAACAATGCATTGATACCCTCAAATCAATATCTCACCATGAAATCTCAAACCATCCTGTCATCCACTTGAAAAGCAGCTGGGTTCAAGAACAAGTCTTAAGATCATTGCACAGTACTAATGGATGGTGTTAAAAGCTGAGATTCTAACTTTATCGCACCAAGAAATTTTAGCTTTTCTCTGAAATATAATGAATATTTTGATAATTCAAGTTTTTTTGTTGGAACTATGAACTATAGAGTAGATCCTACCATATTTGCTTACATAACTAACACTAACCAACTGTGAATTGCATTACAAAGATTTTAAATTAATATTTAGATTCATTGCTGGAGTAGTTTATTGCCAATGTAACGTAACAATCAACCCATGACAGTGATCACCATCAAGCTTCCACTAGTTAAATTATTAAAAAAAAAATCCAAATGCATCAACTACTAATAGTGAGAACAAGACTCGACTAGGTATGACTATTTGCAATATGCTTTAATTGTTACAGTAAAAGAAGGACAAAAAAGAAGAAAAAGTCCTGCTGTGGGGTCTTCTTCTAAAAGGAAAAGGAGAGAATTAAATGGAAAAGAAAAGAGAGAGATCGGTGGCATTTGCTGTAAGACTGTAAACGAATATATATATATATATATATATATGCAACAGTTTGATCCTCCACCATTCAATTCAAAAGAAAATCATAAATTCTCAGAGATAAAGTTAAAAGAGAACAGGGGAAAAAGAAGTGCAAACGAAAATATAGAGATGCAACAGAGTGTAAACCACCAGCACCAAAAGAAATTATCGAATAAAGCTAAAGAAGAAGGGCGTCAAAAGGGATCAACGTGGGGCGTAGAACAGAAAATCTGCATGCAACTAAAGAGAGCTACCCATTATACATTCTCAAAACTAAGTCTAAAACCGGAGCAGAAATTCTAAAACGGAGGGGAAAAAAACAGTTACTTTGGAAAAGGAACCGACTGACCAGAAGGAATTAAGCTCAGTCCAACGCTACCCGACATACAATCTCAGGAAAGCATCAAGACTGGAAATAGCAGAAAGGATAGAAGATGGAAAACGAGCAGCATTGCCTGTAAAACAGAAAACCCAGATGGAAAACTGACCTGAAAACAATGATTCCGCGCCTGGAGACCTCTCCCCTGGTTTTCTCATGGTAAACCAACAGAAGAATCTGGGAGAAGAGCAGAGAAAAATAAAATAAACCCTCTTTTCTTCTCAAGCTGAAGCTGGAGAAGAAAAGGGCGTGTTCATGGTTTTTAGAGAGGCCTTATTCCCAGAAAAGGAAACACGGAAGGGGAGAAACAGTAGAAACAACGATTGAACAACTCATTAAAGAAGGAAACAAGAGAACAGGACCCAGAAGAAGGCCAGAAGAGAATGAAAAAGAAGAAAAAGTCCAGACCTGTGAGCAGTAAAAGTGATGCCAAAAAAAGCAAATAAAATAATAATTTTTGTGATGAAAATTAAAAAGAAAGTTAAACAATCTGTTCATTTTGGACCTGATCGAACGGCCAACCGAGCTTCTGAAATTATCTATCTTACTTTTTTGTTTTTAATTTGTTCTGGATATATTTTTAAATTGGAGACATTGGGACGAGTCGTGCAGAGAGGGAACGAGTTTTCACCAGACAAAAGCAGAGGAGACCCGGAAGATCCCCACGTGCAAGACACTCGCGCCCTACCTCTGCGATAAGTTCTTACCAGTTACCACCATGACCGAAAACAAGCCCGTTAAGTCAACTTCAGTGTCCATTATTACTGGACGAGCTGCACTGCAATCGTCTACATTTCTACTCATAGTACTGGGTAAGTAATTTGGTCCGTACACGTGGACCCCACGCATCAGACAGACATGGAGTGACATGATTGGCCCTGTGTCCCGGCTCCCGTTCCTGTGGATAATCATGCGTTGCTGGGTTACAGAGAAATCTTTTGTGAAGGCTGGTGTTTCGGAGAAGATGTTGCGACCGATGGGTTGAAGTAAAACCGAGTTCCGATTCATCACGGGCTTTCTTTCAAACAGTTATATATAGTAATTGAAGGAGATGATGATTCTGTGAGATTGTTCCGGGTTTTGCAGTGGTTATCGATCGAGAGAAAGACGAAGTGTAGGAGCTGTGAATTGCTTCACTTCTCTGTTTCTTCTTCCTCCTTTTCTCGTATGTACAAAGTACAATATAATACTTCATCTGGTTTTCTGTTTTGAAGAATGATTAGTTCTCCTTGAAGGAAACTGGGTTTTTAAAGAAAGAAGAAAATGATTTCTGGGACAGAGAAAGTGAAGGGTGGTGGAGGCCTGAGGGAGGAGAGGAGGCGATTAATTAGAAACTAGATAGATTATGTCATTCTCCGCTAAGTGGTTTGATTCTCAGGTCTCATCTCCTTCTGCTATCTGATCTCTATTTGAGTTTGAGACCGATAAGGTAAAAGGCATGGAAACTCAAATAGAAGGTCTGGTACATGAAAAATGGAGAGACAGAAGTGAATCAAGCTCGTGGGGAATCAGAATATCAGATACATTTGGAAAGAAACCTACAACCATGGTGCTGCCATTCTCAAATTCGACGTCTGTTGCTGCAGAAACTGAATACAAGTTGACGACTTGACGTATCTTACGCCTTGAGAAGCAGACAAGCCGTGGTATGCAATGCATGTGTAATGTGCGGATAGGTTGAGGCGAATTTCTCAGCCTAATGGTGTGCCTACTGTTCTCCATGAGTAAGGCTTTGTATCCCAAGTCCGATCCTATTTTATTTTTTTATTTTAATTGTTATATATTCTTTTAATAATTTATTAATTTTTTTTTTAAATTAAATACAATCAAATCAGATTCGGATATCCGACATTTGACATCCCAAGTGCAATGCATTTGGAGAAAAACTCTTCGTAGTTTTTTTTTTGACGTACCCATCTCTCAAAGATGTGGTGTTTGTATATCACCAATTCTTCTTATCAACAAAATACATTCCAACACCCAACCAACAAGATTTGACACGACACATCTCATACAGGGTAGGTCCCAATTTCATGGTGAGATATGTGGCATCAGATCATGTTGATAGAGTGTTGGAATCTATTTTGTTGGCAGGAGATCCCAATTCATATTGATTCTATATCTCTTATCCACTTGATTTAATACCCTACATCTCACCATGAGACTGGGACCCATCATAAAAATGAAATCCGCCATATCTGAAATATGTGGTGTGAGATCATGATAGTAGAGGATTGGAATGTGTTCTTTTTGTCTAAATAACCACCATCAGCTAATCCGGTATGTGATTTTGCTGCTTCATCTGTTTCACAGTCAATCATCCCTCACGAGCCAAATTTGATGGGCCTAGTCATTTTCCAAAGAAAATGGATTCCATTTTGTCTTCTCGTTGGGCTCAGCTTCAACCCCATGCGCATAAGCCCAGCAACATCATCAACAACAAGAATAATGAGCTTTATTAATTGGGCTAATTGTGGACTACGTAGCCTGGGGATCCAAATCATTGGGCAACAGTAGGGGTGAGAAAGAAAAACCGAAAAACTGAACTGATCGAGAAAATCGATCGAAATTGAACCGAAAAATCAGTTAATCAAATTGATCGATTCGGTAACCAATATAGAAAATTGGCGATTAATCGAATTGACGATATATATATATATATACTCTATATATTTTATATATATTTATGTATACTATATATATTTTGTATATATTATAAATTAATAAATATGCATTATATAAATATATATTTATAATATATGATATATTATTTATTAATTAGAATATAATATTTTATATATTTATAATATTTTATTATATTTTTATAATATATATTATAAAAATTGAAAAACCAATGAACTAAACCGATGATTAACCGAACTGGTCAATCGGTTAACCGACTAGTTTCGATTCAGTTTCAGTTACTGATTTTCCAAAAACCAGTAATACCGATTCGGTCCTAAAAAACCCTGTGGGCACCCCTAGGCAATAAAGGAGCCATTGGATGGGTTACATTTTCAATCTCATGGTATCAATGGCCCAAAACCAGCTCGAATCTGCTACCACGATCTATTCTCACATCTCTGCCCACAAACCATTACATCTACGCATTTCCCTGTCATTCACGAGGAGATGTTGCCAATACACTGTGGTGATGCTATGTGAGTAGGTATGTAAGAACAAGTGACCAGAATCATATACCAATATACCCGACCCTGGAATAGTTGTTCTAATATTAAATTATTAACACCATTCAAATTTCAACCTTTCTATCAATTATATAAGAGAGTAGGGCTGTTCACGGGACGGGTTGGATTGGTTTACTGAAATTTTTCCAACCGACTCGACCTAGTCGGGTTACCTGAAATTGAAACCGAAACCAACCTTGTGTTAAGCAAAACTGACCTGGTCGGTTTGAGTCAGGTTGGGTCGGTTTGGGTTGGTTTTGACTCTAAGTTCAACCATGCTTGAGAGTCAAATTGTATTAGAGGTTGTGCTTGAGTTGAGGGGCTAAGGGGGGCAGACCAAGTTAGAATAGAAGTTATCAAGAAAATAGAAAGTCAAACTGTATTAGAGAAAGAAGACTAAAATTTGTATATTTCAAGAAACCTTCTAATCTAAGTAAAAAANGATCCTTTGATTCTTTTCTTTAAACTTTTCCAAAAAAATTCCTTGTCTAGTTGTCTTACAATACTTGCCATTAATGTCATTCCTAACTAGAAGACTAGAAATTAAGTTAGGTTGTAACTAGGAYAGARAHAACTTAGTTAAGTARGAACTAAGTAGGTTGTAACTACTAACTAGAAAGTAACTAATAACTACTAAGTCGGTTCGGGTAACTAGGATCATTTGATTCTTTTCTTTAAACTTTTCCAAAAAAATTCATTGTCTAATTGTCTTATAATACTTGCCATTAATGTCATTCCTAACTAGAAGGCTAGAAATTAAGTTAGGTTGTAACTAGGATAAAAATAACTTAGTTAAGTAGGAACTAAGTAGGTTGTAACTACTAACTAGGAACTAACTATTAACTACTAAGTCGGTTTGGGTCAGTTCGGGTCAGTTTTGGTTTTCATGTGTGAAAACTGAAACTGACCGGTGCTGAAGAAAACCCGGCCGACTCGGGTTGGGTCGGCCCAGGTTGGTCAGTTTGGTTGGGTTGGGTCTTCTTATGAACAGCCCTATAAGAGAGAGAGAGAGAGAGAGAGAGTTTCATGCTCTAGATTTTTATTTGTTTGGCAAATTTGATAAGAGTACAAATACAAATATTTATAATATAAATACATATAAAATACAAGATTTTGCACTCTATATATTTGTTTTTGTACTCCTTTAAAACAGAACTTTCTTTACAAAATTTGTGAAACGGTGCTATTTTATTTTTTCCCCCTTTCTCTCATGTTCTTGCATGTCATTGTATCCCATTTCCTCTCTCTCTCTCTCTCTTCAGTATATGGGGAGTCACTAGTCTATTGGTTCAAATGTTATTGGTTTTTAGTTTTGTGATTATGGGTATAAATTATTTTTTGAAGTTTCTTGGAATTTCCAATGTGTTCCTAGACAGTTATAGGGTGAGGGGGAAGATAAAAAAGTGAAAAAAAAAAGTTAGCTTTATGTACATATGATGCAGATTTTGCCGTTATGTATATATGATGCAAATTTTGAAAGTAGAAAAACAAGAAAAAGTGAAAAAAAAAAAAGCCCATATCGACTCTTCAAGAATTTGGACTCAAACGAAAGAAACTCAACCAAACCGTAGAGTTCTCTTTCTTCTTCCAGCTTCATCTAGAGGCGGAAGCCATTAACGATTGCAAATTCAGAGCATATATTTTAAAAAGAAAGATCTATTTTTCTTCTCAAATCTTCGATCAATAGACTCGCGTTTCCCTTTTCAACCTTTATCTAAGGCTACAAGTCTCGTATTATTTGAAGCTAAAAAGTTAGCTTCAGTCAAGGATGAATTACAAGTATTCGATCTTCAGTTTTGGGGTTCAATTAAAGCAATCTAACTCATGCTATTGAAAACCACTTCCATTAACGAATGATTATGAGCTCATTCTTAGGGCTAGAGGAGCCAGCTATCCAGCGAAACGACTGAGTTAGAGACACTCTGCTATTTCTTAATTTGGTTTTGTTTCTCAAAAGCTATGGTGTTTAATAATAGTTTGAGATGTAAGTTATTAAGTTGATATTGTTAAACAATGGTTTGCGATCTCGCTTGAGTTAATGTTGTTGAATAATGGTTTCAGATCTGACATTCAGTACCCTGTAGCAGTTTCATTTTAGGTGTGATATTTTCTAGGAAAAGAAGAACATCTCTGCTTGATTTGTTATTTTTCCTTTTCTCTAGATTAGCTGGCATCAATTTCTCTGTTTGTAACTAGGACTTACCAATCTTTCTTCTTCAAAATTGACAACAGAAAACAAAAACATTCAAGAAACCAATCCTCTCATAACCTAACTCACTTCCACGAATTTCTGTGGCAAAATCAAAACCCGATCATGTCCGACAGTGAGGGGAATAATGGGCAACACGCATCACAAACATCACCCAATGTCAACTTCACCTTGCTGAAATTAGGTCTTCAAGTATCAATTTTTATCGAAAAATCCCCTTTTTTCAGGTTGACAATTCAAACTATCTTGTTTATTTGTTTTAGGTTTTTAGTTTAAAATATAAAAAATAAGACACTAACGGAGTTATCTCGACTCTCACACGCAGCTGACATGTTATCAAATGAATGGAAGTGCACTTTGACATACACCATTCCGAGTGGTATAATTAATCATAAGTGTAATTTAATAAATTTGTCCTTAATTTAATTCCATAGAGATATGCAGGTAAAGGAACCAACAAACAGTGGCAATAGCACATGCCCTTACACTAGTTAAGGGCATTTTTGGTACTGCAGGATGATGGAGGTACATATATGGCCTGTAATGAGGGTGGTGTCAACTGTCAACACTCACATTGATGAATTAGACAACAAAAGCTCCTTCTATTGACTTGATGATTTTGAGGGAACGACATCGTCAAAGTTAATTTGATTTTTTTTTCTTAAGTCCGGATAGACAATTTCATTATGATGAGAGCTCCTCCAAAAGAGTCCAGATTTCTTTCTAACGGGACACTTCCTTCTCTTGTATGTTGAAAACAAGAAATGAGAGAGAATATGAGAAATAAGAAACAGGGGACAATGAGAAGGACCACAGTTATCTACAGATTTATTGGGCTCAATCAACGGAGTAATAAGAAATGAGACTGTGAAAAAGCTCTGTCCAACCTTTTGGGATGAGCTTGGCTTTTGAGGGCGGAGAAGTAGGCCAGATGCAGAATTCTGAATTCTAACCCCCTCCCCCCTATAAATCACATCTTGCCTATGAATTTGACATTAATTCACGTCAAGATGCATGGGCTATAAAATTCTGATTTGGGCTGATTATTAATGGAGGTGCAGGGAATTGAACCCCGTACCTCTTGCATGCGAAGCGAGCGCTCTACCATATGAGCTACACCCCCATGATTAATATATTATTTCTTAAATCATTAATATATACAGAAAACTTGAATATATACTCAGACTCACACAAAAATAAGACAAATAAAAAATTGTTTCTTATTCTGTGGGACAAAGCATTAGAAATCTTTCATGGAAGTCTGGTTTTTTTTTTTTTTGTACAAAAAGGTATTATTTAAAATTTTAGCCGTTTTGCTCAATATTTTAAAAAACAACTTGGAATCGGAACCATTCTAGGCCTGTTCTGACAAAACAAATTAAAAAATAATTAAAATAAAAAAATGACAAAAAATCATTAAATTGGTCAATAATTCATTGACTAATTCAACGGTTTTTGACAAAGGACAATTTGAGGTAAATCAAAACCAATTGCCTAGGCGGTTCCTAAGCCGAATAATCTGATCGTCCAAATCAATAGCGGTTCAAAAACCATGGTTTTGATAGCCTACTATAAATGACATCTAATCATAAGTGCGGATAAAACAGTATTTACATTCGACATTCTCTTAATTGAAAAGATAAATAAGAACCGGAATTCGCTAAGGTGTCATGTGCAGGGCTCCCAAAACAGTTAACGTTGTTTTATCGAAACGATATCGTTTATATTATAGTTAGGAACTGCTTTACAATAACGCCATTGCAGAAGTTCAGCCAGGTCGTCTCTCTCTCAAAAAAAAAAAAAAAAAGTAAAAAAAGGTTAGGAGGGCTACCTAACCATCTGCTACGCATAGTGAGCTGTAACGTATCCTGGAGCAGCACTTCATAGTTCACATTTCCAGTGAGGAGTATTGCATTCCTGAAGGGCTTTGATAGTGGACATGGAGTCAGACTGGACAAATAAGAGGGAATAGGTTACTTTGAAGAGCATATAAAACACTTCACGAATTGCCCAAAGCTCTGCTTTTTCAATGGACGCCCATCCCATATTAATATAAAAAACCCCGGCCCACACCATCTTCCCATGTGGTCTCTGAAAATTCCCGGCTTTACTTTGTCTTCATTTAACAGCTCATCTGTATTAAGTTTGAAGTAGTTTTTCAGAGGAAAGGTGCCAACCAGCGGGTTGATAAAGGTCTCTTGCAGGTCGTAGCAGAGACTTTGGGATTGAGTCCTGCCTATACATGGGTTGGAAGATGGGCTATTCCCCGTTGTATATCCTTTAAAAAAACATGCAAAAAAGTAAGCCCCATTTGGCGTGTCTTTTTGTGCGGGCTATCAGCTTTTTAGATACTCGGGAGCCTATGTTTTCATCTTTTTCCGTTTTGTTAGAAAAAGATCTAAATAGTTAAAAGACATCGTGTTGGAAGGACACACAAAGCCCATTTTGAATGATTTTCGGAAAACTGCAAATGAAGTTTTTTAAGTTTTATTTATTTTTTTTAACTCGTCTTTGCATGGAAAGACACACCTTCAGGTATGTTTTGTTGGCAGGTGATCCCAAACTCGTGTAAATTGCCCCCACAACCACTCCAATTTCTCACTTTGCATGCAGGGATGACTTGTGGCATTGTCATGGGTGAAGCATCATTTAATATAATCACCATATGTAATTAATCTGAATTTTATCAAAATTTGAATAGATCTAGAGTAGAAATCTGGCCCAATGCAATGTAAAATCTTCAAACCAGGTGCATCATGTGCATCTTTAGGCTCTGTTTGGGAATAATGCAAATATGCAGAGTATAAAACGGTTCATGTAAATGCAAAGTTGGGTTAGTTTTGCATTAACAAATTTACCTTCTTACCAAACAAACTTTTAACTGTAATGGATGCAAATATGAATCCCAATAGAATATATGTCTTCCACATTGAATGCAAATTTATTTCTTTTTTATCAATGTACATTTACATCTCATTTTAAATATAAATATGCATTGGAAAATGTGTTTTCTTTCATTTGTCAATGCATAATTGTATTCTTGCCAAACACTGGCAAAATCGAACCACATTACATATTTACCCTAAACCGAGGTTTACATTCCATTCACATCATTCCCAAACAGAGCCTTAGTACCAAAGTATATACTACTAAATTAAAATCCACGAAAACTTATAACCCCCAACTCTTTCTTCTTTATTACCAAAAAATCTTACTTCCAAGATTCTGACCAATAAAAATCACCCCTGAATTTCTAAGAACCTCAGAACTTGCCACCTCAGTCAAGGTAGGTAGGACTCATCACCAATATAAGAAGCTTCTAGTTCACTTAAAATTGAGGTTATACTTTGCATGGTTTGTTTGAGATGCAAATGGAATTATAGAGATGGGTACAAATTGCATGGGAAGAGCAGGTGGTCCCACTTTATATGGGAGAAATTGTAAATGCATGGGGATGTGTGGAAGTTGTCTCCACTTTTTGTGTGAGAAAAATAAAAAGTATAAATGCGTGAGAGTACAAGTGTAAAGTGGGAGGTGGGAGGAAAGTGGTGCAAATTTTGCATAAAGTTTGGTGATGCAAAAAGCAGAACTGCACACTCCCTACAAATGTAAATGAGACAAAATCTGCAAATTTTGTAGCGGATGGAAATACAAATCATAGTATGAAATAGGTACACATACTAGTGCAAAATTTAGACATAGTTCATACCATTAGACAAATGGAGATATAACTGCAGTCTTTTTTAAGGCCAAGGCCCAAAATATCTAACCATGGTGAAATGTAGTTGGTGTTTCATGATACTTTTAAGACGTCTGAAGTCTAAAAAGGTTGGTTTTCAGACCATTAGTGCATTTGTGTTCATGTCTTGTTTCAAACTCTTAACACGGATAGATGCATTTCAAACTTGCACTAATGTCTAAAATACCCCAACTAATTACGAAACCTCTTTAGCTCTATCTACGTTGCCTCATCTCCAATGAACATTGCGACTATTCAAGGTTTTAAAAGGCTAAAGGTGGTTGAGGCATAATGACCCAAAAAGGTGAGACGTAATAATAATAACAAAGATCCATTATTAAAAAGAAAAAAGATCCATTAGTATAAGATATGAATAAAATAACAAACTTGGGACCTTACGTTTAGAATAATAAGAAAAATCTCACTTGATTTATCCAAAAGAAACTAAGAACTTGATTAGTCCTTTTTGCATTGAACTCTCTTAAAACATTAAGAAAAACTAATAAAATTTGATTTACCTTATCATTTTTTCTTTTTTACTTCTTTATTTGGCCTAGAATTACTGCAGTATTATTTTCTATATGTTTTTATAAAAATATAAAAATATATATTTTTTGCATTAAATCACAAAGTAACCATTGATACTTGAGGCTTGTGATTTTTACACCTTATGCCTCATTCTAATAAAGGCTTAAGCCTCACATTAAAGTTATGTGAGGCTTAAGCCTCGAGTAAAAATGTGTATGCCTCGACTTTTTAAAACAACACGAGTATTAACAGCGGTGCTAGGTGATTTTTACTCATTTTTTATTTTCCCCCATTTAATCCTATTTGGTTCTACTCCACATCACTTTCCTCTCGAGCACTTTCTACTATGCCTCTAGTGATCATCGACTTTGTGTGTTCGTGTTCTAGACTTGCTTCTTCAAATAACAAATAAGTGAAGAATGATAACCACAAAAAAAAAAACAGAAAAAATCAGAAGTGTTTCTTTCTGTGAATGAATCAAACGTAAATTAGGGCATTAAATGCAACCCCAGCGGCCATCTCGTTAGCAGTACCCAAGTGGAGATGTGAACGCAATGATGCCATTAAAAACTCTCCAACGATCTTGAAAAGATTCACTGCACCAACCTTTCTCTCCAGCCTCCATATAAGCAACTACCCATAGGCCATAACCACCTCTCTCTCTCTCCCTCTCTTCCTTTCCATCCCTCCATCGCCCTTTTCCGGCCCCCTCTGGTCATGGCTCCGGCGGAAGTCGAAGACCCAGTTTATGACATAAAGCTGTCGTCGGTGGTACCGGCGTCAATAACTGGAGAAGACAGAGTTCATGAGTTCAGTAGCATGGATTTGGCGTTGAAACTTCATTACCTCAGAGGTTTGTACTTCTTCAAGAGCAACATGGTCCAAGGTCTCACGATCTACGACTACAAGAAACACTTGTTTAAATGGCTGGAGATCAATGGCGTCCTCTCTGGCAGGATTCGGAGATCGGAGTCGGGCCGGCCGTCCATCAAGTGCAACGATGGTGGCGTGAGAGTCATCGAAGCTCAGTGCAGCAACACCCTTGACCAGTGGTTAGAGATGAACGATTACTCTCTCCATAGACGCCTTTTTCCGAACCAAGTCCTCGGTCCTGACTTGGGTTTCTCTCCTTTGATTCTTGTGCAGGTACTGTTTCTAACTCTCATCTACCAAACTCTGACTTCTATAGAGAGCTGTTGTATAGTTTTGCCGGAAAAGGAGAAGGGATTTCAATTCGAGCATGGACACTGATCTAGCATAGTTTTCCTTCATGTTCCTCTTCAGGCTTTTGCCGGCAGTTGGTACTATATTCAATTAAGATGGTGTTCTACAACATCATTATTTTTGTTTTCATTTGCTTTTGAGACTGCCCCATCAGCAAAAAAAAAAAAAATAATGATATTAATAAAACTGTTCTAGAATTCTGTTTTTATTTAAAAAAAATGTTTTTGAAAAAACAAATTTTGTAGTGCAGAAATTATATTCATGGAATATGATTTTTTTCAGGGATTATAGCTGATAAGGGCAACTTTTGGACCCTAATATCAATAAAAATAATACTTTTAAGATAATTTCTAAAATATGTTAACTTTTTAAAAATATATATCAAATAAGAGCAGTATTGTTCATCTTCTTCCTCTTCCAAACCACTTCTGCCCCAACCCAGCCCTACAAACCTCAATGACCACCATCCTCTAGCACCGCCTCCAACTAGACCTGTTCATGGGTCGGGCCGGGTTAGGGTCGGGCTTTTACTCTTCATTAATGGAAATTTGTTAGGCCCGAGCCCGAGCCTAGCCCGACCAATGGGCCTACAACTTGGGCCCGAGCCCGGCCCTGATAAAAAGCCCAAATCTCGAGCTCGAGCCCGAAGCCCGACCTAATAAAAAAATTAGAATTTTTCCCTATTCGCCGGAGCTGAGTTCGCAGTGACTGTGAGCAGCGACCTGCGATTTTAACAGTGATCAATTCGCGTCTGAGAGAGAGAGAGAGAGAGAGAGAGAACTTACTGCCACCACCGATGCCTATATTCGCCGCCTCGCCGTCGCCAATGTCTGAGATTTGAGAAGAGGAACGAGAGAGAGAGAGAGAGAGAGAGAGAGAGAGAAGGAGAAGACTCACCGCTGGAGTTGTTGCGTCGGTGAATGTTCGCCGCCTCGCCGATTGTGTGGCTGCTTGAGAGTGTGAGGACTAAGAACTGTGGAGGATGTGGAGAAGAGAGGTTCGGCTGGAAAAAGAGGTGAAAGAAAGAGGGGTATTCGACTAGGGTTTTTAACTTTAATTATAGATCGGGCCAGGTCGGGCTATTTTGGCAAATCCCAAGTCCGACTCGAATTTATTGCGGACCGGGCTTTTTGGCTCGAGGTTAAGCCCGCGGGTCCATTTGCGTGTTCAAGCCCGTTCGGGGGCTGGGCCGGCCCGTCAGGCCACCCGGCCCATGAACGGGGTCTACCTCCAACAACACCTCCGCCCACCTCTAGCAACGCTACCGGTCACCTTATGTGGTCTGATTGGCATTGCCAAAGGTGGGCGATGGCGATGCTGGTGGATGGTAGTCATTGAGATTCGTAGGACTGGGGTGGAGGCATTGTTAGAGGCAGCGGTAGGTGGCAGTGCTATTGAATGGTTTACAGGGCTGGGCTGGGGTGAAAGTGGTTTGGAAGAGGAAGAAGATTTTGCCCTTATTTGATATGTTTTTTAAAAAAATAACCTATTTTAGAAAGTATATTAAAAGTATTATTTTTATTGATATTAGGGCCCAAAAGTTGCCCTTATCAGTTATAGTCTTTTTTTTTACTAGAAATGGGATATACAATCAAATAAAAAACATGTATTTGAAATCTGAATTTAGATGGTTTTCTTTCTTTTATTTATTCAATGGTTTTCTAAAAATATGGGATCAAGAATATATTAAGGTTTCTGAGCTTTTTATTTCACTAGCTAATGTAAACATGATTTATACATGGCAATTTTAGATGATAATGATGATGGTAGTAATAATGTGTCCAAATTATTTTAATTTTTTTATACATTTCTATGTTTATAAAAATGATTCTTATTTATCAAACTTTTTTTTGTTTAAAATAATTTGAAAATAGAATTAATTTTTTATATATTTCTATGTTTATAAAAGTAACTTGTTGTTTCTTTACTGTCCAACACTTTGATTCATACATCATAGTTGGCCTTACATTAGAAAACGAGGGTGATAGAAATGTAAATGCTAGGATGGATGAGTGAAAAACTAGAAAGAATAGGATCCGGGTTGCAGCCATCAATAAAAACCTAGTAATAGTTTCAATAAGTAACAAAATAAGAAAAAGTAGATTAAGATGGTTTGATTACGTGTATGGAAGACCATGGATGGCTAGAGTTAGAAGAAAGTAGTTTCATGATTTGTTACAAGTGAAAGGGCCTAGAAGAGTTAGGGGTAGACCAAACAGACATAGGTAGAAATAGTACAAAACTATTTAAGCACTAACAATTTAATGGTAGATATAGCTCTAAATAGAATGGATTAGCTAAATGGTATTCATGTAGGGGACACCATATAGTTGAGATAAGGCATGGATGTGCCCAAATGGTTTCTACAAATTTTATGTATTTTTTGTAATCTTTTTGTGTTTTTATTTTTATTTAATTACAAAAAATGGATTGACCCATTTGACCCTAATAGTTGAATGGTTGAATTGCTTATCTACCACCTATACAAAAACAATTTTGCCTTTTGTTTGTTTTAAAAAATATAGGCTTTACATTGTTAAAAGTATTGAATATAGATCTAATATTAACTCTCATTCTCCAATTAAATCATATATTTAAGATACTTTTTCTCACCAACTAATTCTAATGTTAGATTTATATCCAAGCTCATTCATATTAGTATAGGTATAAATATTTTAAAATAAATTAAACATATGTTTGTTTTTATTTTTAATAACCATCCATGTCAGATTTATTTTTAATTTTAGTTTTTGAAATATATTAAACACATAATAATGCTATTTGAATCGTGGAACTTTGGTGAACAACTCTCAATGGAGGGTCTTTTGTTTTTGTTTTTATTTTTCGATAGATACAATGGAGGGTCTTAGAAAAAGAAAAATCTTTCATTAAAAATTTGAAATGAAGGATTTTAATTTCTTTACACAAAGTACCTTCAAGCAAGGTTTTTAAAACCGAATCGGACAACAAACCGGTTAGGGGTCTGGTTCCCGGGTCAAACAGTTCAACCGTTCAAACCGAACAAACAGCCCATTCTAACAAAAAAATAAAAAATAAATAAAAACCGGCCAAACCATCGAATGATTCGAATGGTTCGAATGGATCAACCGTCCGGGTCAGCAGTTTGCTGACCAAATTAACGGTTTAGGGGTAAATAACGGTTCTAGTGTAAAATGGAACCGGTTCCTGATTTTTCCAGTCCGACCGTCCAGTCCAGTCTGGTTTTGAAAACCATGCCTTCAAGATCGGATTGAAGATACCCTTGAAAGAACACCTCACCTGTAGTAGTCCAGTCCCTATCAATAGAGGTATTGGACCCCAACAGTCCATTTTCTTCCATGGATTGGGCCTAACCATCTACCACAAATAATCTTGCTCTCCCAATGTCCACATCCACAACTACACCAACTTATGAATATCCACTCATCTAATTTGTGGATGAACTCATAAATAATACAGCTCAGATCTGTTGTATTTGTTATTCTCAACTGGCTTTCCAGACAGTTCCAACTCTCAACAGAATTTTTATTTTCTGTATCGTTTTTCAGTTTACTTGGTTCAAATGTGGAGGAGTATCAGTGGGCCTAAGCTGGGCCCATGTCCTTGGAGATCCATTCTCAGCTTCAAGACTCATCAACATCTGGGCCCAAATGCTGTCCGATCGTCTTCCACCCAAATCATTCAACCTCCCAAAAGCAGAGCCCAAACCCCAAATGCCCGAAACCCCGGTTCATGATGGCTCAGAACCAGTCTCAGTGAAACAGGTCGAACCCGTGGGAGAACACTGGTTAGTCGCTAATAACTGCCAAATGGAGACATTCTCCTTCCAACTGACTTCCGCAGAACTGACTAACTTGCACTCAAAGATGAGAAATCAAACTGGTAAAACCCCAACATTTGAATCGCTCTCAGCTATAATCTGGCAGAGCTTAGCAAGGGTTAGAGGAAAACCAGAGCCAAGAACGGTCACTGTTTATCGGAAAGGTCGCCATGATGGGGAGTTGGGCAACAACCAGGCAGTGAGCGTAGTGAAGGCAGACTTCTCTATTGCAGATGCCAGTGCGTCAGAACTAGCACAGATGTTGGTTGGACGATCAGTGGAGGAGAATAGCAAGATTGAGAAGGCAGTAGAGAGAGACCAGGGGCTGACTGACTTTATTGCACTGGGCGTAAACCTGACATTTGTGAATTTGGAAGAGGTCGAGCTTTATGGACTGGAGTTCAGGGGACAGAAGCCTATCTATGCGAACTGTCTGATCGACGGAGTTGGCGATGAAGGCGTTGTGTTGGTGCTTCCAGGCCCAGAATCAGGCAGTATTGCTGAAGGTAGAGGAGGAAGAACGGTGACTGTGACGCTGCCAGAAAACCAAGTTGCCCAGCTGAAAAATGAGCTTCAGAGAGAATGGTGCATTAGCGTCTGAACACTATGCTTAGATCTTATGGTGGTGATGTTGGTTTGAATGTTTTATCTCTATTTTTTCGGTGTGTAGGTCTGAATTGTTGAAGAATAACATTTTCATTTTTTTTTTTATTTTAAAGTTTGAACATGATTATGAATTTATGATGGGGCGGAGTTAATTGCATTCTGGTTTGCAACAGTGGATCTCTCTCTCACACACAAAAAATTATTAGATAGTATGGGCTGTACTGGGATATGATTTTGGTTGTGACAACTGGCGACAGGGTGGTGACTGATGAGATGAACGCACATCATCAGCCCATGCCCATTCCCTCTTGCAGATATGGGCGTACTGACATTTAAAAGCTTGCAAATTAATCTCTATCTATACTATCCGATGTTTTAAAAACCGAACCGGAACCGCTGGTTTTTGGGTCAGCGGTTCGATCATCTGGTTCGAATGGACGGCCCATCACAATTTAAAAAAAAAAATTAAAAAATAATTGAAACCAAAAAATGGTCAAAATCCATTCATTGGGTCGAATGAATTGACGGTTCGACAGCCTAGGTCAATGGATCATTGACCAAGTCAAAGTTTATTAACATAAGATCGGGTTTGGGGTGAAATGGAACCGGTTGCCTGAATAGTTTCTAGGTCGAATGATCCGACCATCCAGGTCAATGACGGTTTGAAAAGCATGATAACTATACTATATATAAATTGTGTTGTCTATGTTGAAGTCTCAACCCATATATATATGGAACAATTTTGAGGTGAACCACATTGTATGTATTTCGTATAGCTTCCGTTTATTAAATGAACGTTTGTATTTGATTTATCTTCAAAACCGAGAAAAGTACTTGATAAATCATTTATGGACAACTAGGCGCCATTAAGTGCCACATTAGGGGAATAGTAAATAAAAAACTCACTTTTGTGAATATCAATGTGTACGGATAAATATGATGGGAAAAATGCTGATTTGGCGATGACATGGTGGCGTTCTAATAAATGTCTATCAAGAAATAACCACTGAACAAAACACACGCTGACACACATTACACATTGTCTTCTACTTTCAGGCATATTACTTAATGGGTTTATGCCATTATTAATTTATTATAAATGATGAAAATCATACTATTGGAAGAAGAATACCGATTTCTCAAAGGAAAAATTTCCGATCAGTACCCTGTGCTTTGGCTCAAGTGACAATTTGATCCCCAAACTTTAAAATACGACAATCCAATACCCAAACTTTTGAAACCCAAGAATGCCCATCCATTAGTTTACCCCTCGTTATTTCATCAAATCCCAGTCCTAAATATTTTAATAACTCAACCAAACAATATAAATTACTCAGCACCGATATTGGGGACTTTGGGGCTGGGGACCTCTATTCTATTCTCCATTATTATCGGATAGACCATTGTCATCAAATCAAAACCAATTTCGGAGCAGAGCTATGGAATCAACAATTAGAGAGAAGCAAGGGAGAAGAGTCCTAGACTCAGACTTCTAAGATCGAAAGTTTCCTTTGGGGTTTTTCGTTTTTTGGTTGTATTTCGAGATGAGGAGAGCACTTGTCACTGGCGAAGATTCGATGATTGATGATGAGAAAATGAGGAAGAAGAAAAAGGAGCAAAGAAGAAGAGGAGGAGAGTAGTCAAGAGACTAGGTTTGTGCTTCTCTACGAGGATCTGCTCTTCGAGGTGTTGAAGCACTTGGACGTGCGATTGCTTGCCATTGCATCTTATGTTAACAAATACTAGCAATCAACAGCTCCAGTAACCGCTGAAATGGCTGCGACAATCAACAGCCGCTTCGCTCTACACACATGAAATAAAAGAATAAAAACACTGCGTTAACAAACACTAGGCTTTATCATCCTTTTTATTCTTTTATTCATGCACTAGACGAACATCGGTTGTAGCAATCAACAGCTCCATTCCGTGGTTCTTGCTCTCGAAGGTTTTTGTCGCCTCCATTCCCACTGCCTTTGGCCCCTCTTAAAACCACCTCCATAAAAAATGCCAGTTCATTGGGGAAAAGACAAGGTTCAACTCTCCTTGTCTCTCCTCTCAATTTGCTATTTCGAGAAGATGAATGTACAACAAAGGCAGATGAAAACGCTTTCTGCTTTACTCATCACCTTTGTTAATAGAATTAGTTTGATTGAAGTCTGTTAAGAGTTAGTTACAAGATTCCCTCCATAAGTTAGTTACATCCAGTTGTACTTGTATCTATAAATATAGTGACCTCTCTCTCAGACATGTAATGAAAAGAATTCTCTTCTTTCTATCTTGAATGTTCTTTATGTTTTTCATGGTATCAGAGCTACTATCCTTCTATTAGTGGAGATATGGCATCGTCGAGCACCACGCTTGCTTCAACACCGAGCAATCAAAAGGTTGAGGTGAAGACCTTTACTCATGCGATTTCTGTTTGATTAACAGAGGACAATTTTCTTCTATGGAAGCAGCAAATTATATCTACGATCAGAGGATACAAATTACAACACTTCTTAGATGGTTCTTCAGTTCTAAAGAAGTTTCAGAGGCAAGAAGATGAAGATCAAGGTAGAGCCAGTGAATAGTTTATAGAATGGGATCAACAAGATCAATTGTTGTTGTCTTGGATGCTTTCGTCAATGTCCGAGAACATATTGACCAGAGTTGTTGGCTGTGAGACATCTTGGGAAGCTTGGAAGCGAATTCAAATCTTCTTTGCGTCTCAGACTCGCGCTAAAATCAATCAGTTGAAGACGCAATTATGGAACACAAAGAAAGGTTCATTGTCTATTAATGAGTACTTGTTGAAAATTAAAGGTATTGTTGATGCTTTGGCTGCGATCGGAAATCCGATCTCTCCAAGTGATCATATTGAAGCTATATTCGATGGACTCTCAGAGGAATTTGATCCTTTCATCACATCAGTTACATCTAGGCTGGATCCATACACTGTAAGTGATATTGAATCACTTCTTCTTGCACAAGAATGTAGAATTGAGAAACACAAATCAGTGGAGACTCTCACAGTTAATGTTGCACAATTGCAAGTCAAGAATAATTCAAATAATCCTAGCAGCAGACCTCCATTTGTAGGAAGAGGAGGTATGAATATTCGAGGTGCCAGAGGAGGTATGAACTTTGGTAGGCAAGGAGGAAGACTAGGCAGAGGTGGTTTCAACGGACCATTTGGTACTTGTCAAGTGTGTGGTAAATTTGGTCATCTTGCATCCAATTGTTACCATAGGTATGACCAGAATTATCAGTTATCAGTTGCAGATTTTCATAATGCACAGAAGCAGCAGGAGCAATAGCAACAACAAGTCTCCTCTCCACATCTATAGGCTTATATTGCTACTCCTGAATCAGTCTCGGACCACTCATGGTATCCTGATTCGGGTGCACCAAATCACATTACCTATGATGCAGCCAATCTTGCTAGCAAGACTCCCTACACAGGAACTGATGCTCTTTATATTGGTGATGGATCAGGTTTGCAAATTTCTAATGTTGGACACGCTCTAATTCACTCTTCTTCCTCTCCTTCACCTTTGATTTTGAAAAATCTGCTTCATGTTCCTCTTATTACTAAGAATCTTCTTAATGTCTCTCAATTTGCTAGAGATAATAATGTTTTCTTTGAATTCTATCTTGATTTTTGTGTGGTAAATGACCAAGTTTCCAAGAGAATTCTTTTGCAAGGCAAGCTTAGAGCAGGTCTCTACTCTTTTGAAGATTTACATGTAACCAGATATGTTTCTTCTTCAGCATTCAGTCCTGCTTCTGTTGTGTCTCAACAGCCTTCATCTCCTTCTGCTACACCTATGTCTGCTCATACTGCTTACACTACTTCAGCATCCTCTTCTGCAGCAACATCCTCTTCTGTTCCTGTATTTCATTTGTGGCACAATAGACTAGACCTTTTCATGGGCCGGGCTCGGGCCGGGCTTTCACTTGTCATTAAGGGAAATATTCTAGGCCTGATCCCGAGCCCGGCCCTGATAAAAAGCCCGAAGCCCAAGCCTGAGCCCGAAGCCCGACCTAATAAAAAAAACAATTTTCCCTATTCAAATTAGAATTAAAAATTCAGATAGTTTTTTTTCCTAGTTAAATGAACAATGGGCCTATAAGATGGTTTTTCCCCTTTCTTTTATATTTTAAAACACAATTTTACATTCTTAAATCAAAAAAATATAATAGACTAACAAACTCTCAACTATCTCTAATAGGTGACAAAATGAGAGAAAATAGATTGAGATCATTTTGTCAAGTGGATGGAAGACCATCTACAGCATGAAAAGTGATTTTTTACAAGCTAAAGGACTTTGGGTGGAAGTGGTAGAGAAATTAGTTAAGCATCCATAATTTAAAATTATGGATATATATGACACATAATAGAATGGAATGATGGATGATGGTGATGATAATGATATGAAAACGAGAAATCAATATCAATCCATCCTTGGATGCTATGAAGAAATAACTAGAGATAGAGAGATACAAGGCATGAATACCGGGTATAGGATGAAATAGATTGACCCCTAAGTGTAAGTGAAAAGCATATCATATTTCCATTTTTCTTCATTTTTTTATTTGCCATGACAAATAAGTGGGTGAATTGCAACCTTAAAATCTTCATGAAACCTTTTTTCAGCTAAAAATTTGTTTGTACATCTCCTTGCAACAACCACTACTAAGGGGGTGCTCTATAATGTAGATGAGAAATTGGGTGGTACACCACACCCCAACAAGGTGGTTGTTCTATGTCATGGACAAAGATGTGTGGATCGATCCACACCACACCCCATGGGCATTTTGCAAGATGTGGCGCATTTGAGATAATCTATACTGTTAATCATTAAAAAACAATATTTTATTTTTTGGTAATATACACAATAGAAAAATATTGATAAATTGTTAATAATTTTAATAATTAATAAAAATAATATTTAATGACAAATAATGATATTAATATTAATTAAAAATGAGTAGTAATATTAATGATAATTGATAAGAGTAGCATTAGTGAGCTCACAGTGGGAGGTGTTGCAACGATAGAAAGAAAAGAGGTCTTGTATTAGGGTTAAACAGACCATGTGAAGCATGAGATCATTATTCCATGTGAAAAACAATGTAATAGATGGTTCCACGAGAAAAACCCGTGGATGAGAAAAAGCGTTGTGGTGTGCA